GCATGACCTGTATATACGCCGGTGTATACGATATATTGTTCAGGGAAGCGTGTATGCATCTAACCCTAATGTGCTGTCGCATTCTCTATCGCAGATTGTACAGCTTGAGTGCACCGCATCCTGGCAGGAAGGATCCAGTAACTATATGGTTGGAAGATTTACCCACAAGAGCATAAAATCGGACGAGGAGGGCTACAGATGCTTCGTGAGTGTTTTCTTTGCTGATTTATGATGCGTATATGTAATGGTCTGCAGACGATTTCCTCGCCGTAAGCTCATCTAGCTATTGTGCAGTGTACTTCATGCTGCGTTATTTCTAATTCTCCATTGTCAACAGACTGGCTCTATTGTGCTATAGTGATAATGACTACGAATAGGCTGTTTCAACACATTTCTGTTCAGAGCCTAATGTATCACGCGAAATATCTACGCCGCACACAAACAATTAACTACTTATATATCTGTGTGTGTGCGTGCGTGCGTGCGTGCGTGCGTGTGCGTGCGTGCGTGTGCCGTGGCGTGTGCGTGCGTGCGTGCGTGCGTGCGTGCGTGCGATATCGAACAACATATAGATAATATGAAATACCATATATTCAGTATACGATTGGCTAACAATTACAATAGCATTTAATACCATGTACTCATGTGCATGCATATATGGGTGTGTGCAGATACAGCAAAATTGCGGTTCATTATCTCAGGTGAATATTCCCATAGTTCACATGTCTTCGTGAGTCGCGAACAGTTTTCGTTAATCTGCAAAGACCGCATCTCTTAGTTATATGAGTATGCTATTATTAGTTATATGAGTTCATATATATACGCAGTATGTATACTGAAGCTAGCACTCGGATGAAAAACACCTCAAATGTATATATGGCGCTAGAGAAGTTTTATTTCGACCTTTTTGTGTGAATTTAAATGCGCGTAGAACGCGCGCAGCGGAGATGCGGTTTTATGTCCCACCGACAGCGAGCGGATGACTCGTTAAATCTGCATGAGATGGTCATTTGCCTATAAATCCGGCAGGGCAGCGTAACGTGGGCTGTAGCTGCGGCAGCCGACGTCCCTTATTTATCATCGTTCACGTCGTGTGCAAGCGACGTCGCCGAGCAGTTGCATATATAGTCGGCTTCTCCCGCCTCCCGCTCCGGCTCCGCATCCCGGATTAGCGGGGAAGCAATGCGCCCCGTCGCAAGATTCTATCGCTTTAATAAAAGGACTACAAAATGTATTTTACAGTTATTGAAGCATGTGATAAAAACGCGAGAAAGTCAACCGGGCAATTCAGATGAAATTGCCTGCGGTGTTACACGAAGACGCGAGACGCGCAGTACACATTTTTCATGCAATTTTCTATTCGAAATGAAAATGTATCAAACGCAAACACACTGACGCATTATATCTGATGCCTCATGCGCGAACGGCGCGCCAATTCAATTCTAGCCATATATAGTATAGCAAGATTGCATACATCTTCTGCAAGAAATCGAGCGGCGTGCGTAATAATAAACAAGATCTAAAATTATTACGTGGATCCCGATAGACTATATACGAAATAAACTATAACGATATGCCCGCGCAGGGTTATGAGCAGAATTCAAACATGCCTGGCGCTGTTTAAGACAAGGCGACGCGCAAAAATATGGGAGAAATTACATCGTAGACGCACAACGTCGCAGCGGCAGACGCGCTGGGTAATATCTACATCTTAAGCCGGTTACGCGACTTAAATCATTTCATGCGTGCGCGCGTGACATCGTTCCTACGCACGTAAAAATTGCGAACACGTACTCGTATGTACATAAGATGTCGGTTGTCCATTGTCCGTGATTTACGCCAGAAGAAGATGGCGAGTGAACGGTAATCTAGCCGCTTCTTTTCTGTGAATCATGCGCCGCCTAAAACCTATAACCTATATATGCGAGTTGAAAAGAAACTATCTCGCTCTCATCTAGCGGCGAGGCACGCGCAGTGTGCTCATGAGCGTGAAAGCAAGACGGATAGGAAGCGGTGGACGAATACGATAGAGATAAATAGCTAGATAGGAAGGGGGATGGGTAACGAAAGAGAAGAAAGGAGAGAAGTATAGAAAGGAGGGAAGCGCGGGAGAGGGCGCGCTAATGATGGAGGGTGTGAGAGAACGAATACGGCGAGAGATAAATAAAAAAATATATATAAAGAGAAAACGGGGAAGAAGAAAAGACACACAGATAGAGAAAGTCAGTGCGAGAGACAGCTAAATAAATAAATAAATAAATATATATATATACATATACGTACGCACGCAAGCACGCACAGAAACACGTACGCACACACGCGCGCACCCCCTGCACGCGCACACACGCACATAGAAAGAAAGAAAGAAAGATAGATAGAGAGAGAGAGAAAGAGAGAGAGAGAGAGAGAGAGAGAGAGAGAGAG